AAAAAAAAAAAAATTAGAAATATTAGTCTAGCATGGTGGCACACACCTATAGTCCCAGCTAGTCAGGAGGCTGAGGCAGGAAGGTTATTTGAGCCCCCCGGAGTTTGAGGTGACAGTGAGCTTTGATGACACCACTGTACTCTCACCCAGGTGATTGAGCAATACTCTGTCTCAAACAAAAGAAAGGATTAATGGGGAAATTAATGTATGAGTAGCTAAATCCAGGAAACAAGTGAGTAAAGTAAATTGGCAACTGTGGATTTGGGTTGTCTCAGGGGATTGCCTCTCTCTAACTCCCTGACGTTTTTGCTCTGTCCCCAGTGTCCTCTACTTCTCCATCCACCGCTATGAGCAGGGTAGGTTCTGGCCCCACCTTAAGGCCTCTAACTGGTCTACCACAGGTTTTGGTGAAGGCCAAGGATACACCATTAATGTGCCTTGGAACCAGGTCAGTGTCTGCCTACCCTTTGCCCCCAAAGTGAGCCCTGGCCCTGCCCTCCCTTTGGCTCAGGGCAGGCAGCTGAATGTCCCCCATCATGCCTCTGTGTCTGCAGGTTGGGATGCGGGATGCTGATTACATTGCTGCTTTCCTGCACATCCTACTGCCGGTTGCCTTCGAGGTCCTGGGGATCTGGGATGTATCGTGGGGAGGGGTGATGTTAAAGGATGGGCCATGAAGACAGGTAGCCTTGGGCTGGGTGCAGTGAGTGCCTCACACCTGTAATCCTAGCACTCTGGGAGGCTGGGACACATGGATTGCTGGAGGTCAGGAGTTCAAGACCAGCCAGAGGAAGAGCGAGACCCTGTCTCTAAAAACTAACCAAGCATTGTGGTGGGCACCTATAGTCTCAGCTACTCGGGAGGCTGAGACAAGAGGATCACTTGAGCCCAGGTGTTAGAGGTTGCTCTGAGCTAGGACCCATGACACTCTACCAAGGGCAACATAGTGAGACTCTGTCTCAAAAAAAAAAAAAGAAGGCAAGTAGTCTCATATAGTCTTTCCCCTCTCAGTTCCAGCCTCAGCTGGTCCTGGTGGCTGCTGGATTTGATGCCCTCCGAGGGGACCCCAAGGTAAGGCAGGCTCCCTGAGATGGTGGGTAGACATAAAGGGGCTACATGGAGCCAGGCTGACCCTCCATGTCCCTCCAGGGTGAGATGGCTGCCACTCCAGCAGGGTTCGCCCAATTAACCCACCTGCTAATGGGTCTGGCAGGAGGCAAGCTGATCCTGTCCCTGGAGGTGAGTGACTCACCTTCTCTCAGCCTATGGATCCTGGGGGGCTTATGAACAAAGCTTTTAAATCCAACATAAGTTCCTGGCCCGGCATTTCATTTACTAGCTGGACAACCTTGCATTAGTCATATCACTTCTTTGTGCCTCTGCTTTCCTTATGTTAAACAGGCATAATAATAATGGTAATCACCTCATGTCATTGTACAGTGAATTAAATGTGGTCACCCTCTAAGTTCCATGTCACTTGACATGTAGCATGCACCCTCGTATTATTTTATTATTATTATCATCATGATTGTGATCATTATTCTTCTTCTCTGGGAATGTCTTGGCCTTTCCTGACCCCTCTCAACTCCTCCCTCCAGGGTGGCTACAATCTCCGCTCTTTGGCTGAGGGTGTCAGTGCCTCACTCCACACCCTCCTAGGAGACCCTTGCCCCATGCTGGAGTCCCCTGGTGCCCCCTGCCGGAGGTGAGCCCCGTGGAGGGGGGGAACACCAGGAGCCTCATTGACCGCTAGGGGCCATTTCATCACACTTTCCCTGCCCTACCCCTCAGTGCCAAGGCTTCCCTCTCCTGTGTTCTGGAAGCCCTCCAGCCATTCTGGGAAATCCTTGTGAGATCAGGTAGGACGTGGGGGACTGGGCATGGGATGAGCCATGGGAGGAGACTGTTTTCCAGACTCCTGCTGACTTTCCTGGGCCACCTTGGTAGGGGAGGGTCAGGCCCTCTCTCTCCTTGGGCCCTGGTTCCAGGCTTCCTACCTCTTTTTCTATTTTGGTCACCTGAGCTCCAGAATATTATGGGGATCCAGATAGAGTAGGGTGAATATGACTTCCCCTTGTAGCTGAGCCCTTCGAGGAGGACAACATACAGGAGGATGACATGGAGGGAAACGAGGAGGAAGGACCATGGGAGTCCTCTGTGCTCCCAATCCTGACATGGCCGGTGTTGCAGGCCCGCACAGGGCTGATCTACGACCAACGCATGTTGAATCACTGTAACTTATGGGACAAGTAAGCAGCCAGAGGGCTGGATAAGTGGGTGTGGGGGCCCTTCCCTCTCCAATTACTAAGCCCCTACCTCTGGTTTGCCCCTTCTACTAGCCACCACCCTGAGGTGCCGCAGCGCATCTTGCGTATCATGTGCCGCTTGGAGGAGCTGGGCTTTGCTGGGCGCTGCCTCACCCTGCCTGTGCGCCCTGCCACCAACGCTGAGCTGATCACCTGCCACAGGTCATATTCCTATGCCTGCAGTGTGCAGACTCCCAGAGCTATGGATGGGGTCTTAGGGACTAGAGCCTGGGGTTCCCTTCCCAGGAGGTGGAACTGCTGTGGAACAGGGAAGGGCTGAAGTTGCTGCCCAGGAAGGGGATGAACTTCCTCACGTGGCTGGGTGCTCCTCTCTGTGCCTCCAGTGCTGAGTACGTGGGTCATCTCCGAGCCACAGAGAAGATGAAAACCCGGGAGCTATACCGTGAGAGCTCCAACTTTGACTCCATCTACATTTGCCCCAGTACCTTTGCCTGTGCACAGCTGGCTGCTGGCGCTGCCTGCCGCCTGGTGGAGGCTGTGCTCTCAGGAGAGGTGTGTCCTCTTGGCAGTGGGCTGGAGAGTGGAGGTCCCTGAGGGATGGGAAGAAAGGACTGCCTCCTGCTTAGGGGGGGCTCTGAGAAAGACAGGCAGGGCCTGAGGAAAGGAGGTATGAGGAGGGATCGCTGCTCCCTGGGAGAGACAGGGGGCGCTAGCAGCTAAGGGAATAGTAGTGGAGGAGGAGGGGGAGAGAGAGAAGAAAAGAAAGGGCCAGTGTGAGGGTGGGGTCGATCTTCACTCTTCCCTCCTCCCAGGTTTTGAATGGTGTTGCTGTGGTGCGCCCCCCAGGGCACCACGCTGAGCAGGATGCAGCTTGTGGTTTCTGCTTTTTCAACTCTGTGGCTGTGGCTGCTCGCCATGCCCAGGCCATCAGTGGACGTGCCCTGCGGTAAGGGCTCCCTGAGGTCCCCCAAATCCTGATCCTTGTGGGGACCTGGACCCCCCAGCCCAGTTTTTACTCAATATCCCTGTGGTACAGCCCCCAGGAACTCCCCCCCAAAAAACGAGCAAGGATCTAGTTACCTAGAACTTACCTAGAAAAGGACCAAAGATGGAGCCTCTTAGTACTTACCCAGATAGGATTGTGCCCCAGATTGTGGCATCTAGGCACTGGCCTGGCATTGGCTACTCAGGGCCCAGGGTCCACCATGAGTGCTTGCTCAGGCCCTCAGGATCCAGGACTGGGCTTTATCCTTAATTGACAGGACACAGAAGCCCAATACCCAACACTTGCCCAAGAGACCCAGGGTCCTGTCACCCAGCAATAAGTGCCCCATAGACCTCAGGGGTCTAGCCCCAGCCTTCTCCTAGGGGGTGAGTATCCTGAGTTACTGAGTAACTGTCACCTCCCCCAGGATCCTGATTGTGGATTGGGATATCCACCATGGTAATGGAACTCAGCACATGTTTGAGGATGACCCCAGGTGAGGGGCTGAGGCTGGGGACAGGGTGTGGTCAGGGAGGTGGGTGAGCAATGCCTCAGGGGTCCTGGGGGCCCCTAAACAGCCATGGCCCCTTTCCCACCCATCTCTGGCAGCGTGCTATACGTGTCCCTGCACCGCTATGATCATGGCACCTTCTTCCCTATGGGGAATGAGGGTGCCAGCAGCCAGATAGGCCGGGCTGAGGGTGCAGGCTTCACTGTCAATGTGGCCTGGAATGGGCCCCGCATGGGTGACGCTGACTACCTGGCTGCCTGGCATCGTCTGGTGCTTCCCATTGCCTATGAGGTATGGCTCAGGATGTATGTGACATTCCTGTGCGAGTGGCAGCATGTGCCTGCCTCCTTGGTGTGTGTATATTTGACTGCTAAGTGACTGATCATATGAGACAGCCTGTGTGTGACTATAGTGATGGCTGTTAGGGAAGGGGGCTGACTTGCATATTTGTCTCACTCTGCACAAGTGACTGGGACAGCCTTCTGTGTGGATGCAACTGTATGTGCAAGTGACCACCTCCTGTGGGTGCAACAGAGTGCTTGTGTCCACTGTGACTGGTGATGGCATGCAGATGATTATGACTATGCATGGTGGCTGTGGATCATTGGCCCCTCTGAAGAACTGTGTGTGTGTGCGTGTGCATGAGTAGTGCAAATGTGTAGTAGTGGTTTGTATAGGACTATGACTGTGTGGGGATATGTGTGGCTATATGTGACTATCTCCTCTATGTATGACAATTGTTATTATGTTATGGAAGTGTGGGTGTGCGCCTCTCTTTGGCACTGTGTATATAAAACCCTGTATCTTATATATGTGTCATATGTTTGATCCTGGGGTATGTGTGTGTGAGGACATATCTTTGTCCCTCTATTTCTCATGTCGCTATCTCTTGACATCAGGGTCTCCATGTCTCACATATCATGACTCTGTCTTGTGTCCCTGTCTGTCCATTTCTATTGTCTCTATGTCTCTAAGTCTATTTTGTGTGTCTCTGATACTCCTATTTCTGAATCTCTGTTTCTTGTGCTTCCCTCTCATCCCATCTGGTCTCGCATCTCCATCTCTCTGACTTGTATCTCTGTCTTCATTTATGTTTATCTCTGGGTCTCCATCACTCACTGCCTACCATAGCCCCTACCCTCATGCCTTTGCATCTTTTCTCTCCCTCCTTCAGTTTAACCCAGAGCTGGTGCTGGTCTCAGCTGGTTTTGATGCTGCACTGGGAGACCCACTGGGGGGCTACCAGGTGTCACCTGAGGGTTATGCCCACCTCACCCACCTGCTGATGGGCCTTGCCAATGGCCGCATTATCCTTATCCTAGAGGTAACTCTCTCAGTCCCTCTTTCCATGAAAGGAAAGTAGTTTGGAAAAGCTGGTTGCATTATTCAAGGCAGTTTCCTAAAATCTCCTTTGAGTGTTGCCACCTGAATTTTTGTCACATACTAGGCATTAATAATAACAATAACACCAACAGTAACAGCTTTCATTGAGGGCTCACTGTGTGCAAGGTGCTCTTCTCAGCATTTTATATGTATAGAGAGTGCAAAAAAAGTATGCACATTTTAAGAAAGGAAAAAACTATATTACATTCATAATATTCAAGTCATGTTTGACTTCTGTGATTATAAGAGGTGCTCAATGTGACTTGTATTTAACTTTTGTTATTGGTATATATTGAGCGTTACAATTTTAAAACAATTTTTTCCTTTCTTAAATTGTGTATACTTTTTTTGGCATTCTCTATTATTTATTTCTCTTAGAAAAGCAGATGTATGAGGTAGAGTCTGCTTACTGCATCATTTTTCTCTCTAGATCAGGGAAACCGAGGCACAGAGCAATGTAATGACTAGCCCAGTCACACATTAACTAATGGCAAAGCCAGGGCTTGAACCCATGCAGCCTGGCTTCAGGGTCTGTGCTTTTTGACTCCTACCCAAACTGCCTCTAACAAGTTCCATAGACAAGGTAAAGTCACTGACCTTTTAAAAATGACTCAATGGGCTCAGCGCCTGTGACTCAAGTGGCTAAGTCACCAGCCACATACACCTAAGGTGGCAGGTTCGAATCCAGCCCAGGCCC